GGGCGACCCCTGGAGACTAACCCTGTATTTCATTTGATTTGCTTTATAATGACAAACCAGAATATATATGGTTTAGGGGTGGGGATCTTGACCATTTACAAGATATTAGAACTTTCTAAAATGGCAGGGGGTCAGGATGACCCCATGGGACTAACCCTGTATATCATTCAAACCATCTTAGCATGACAAACCAGAATATATATGGTTTAGGGGTGGGGATCTTGACCACTTACAAGATATAAGAACTTTCTTAAATGGCAGGGGGTGGGGGTGACCCCTGGAGACTAACCCTGTATTTCATTTGATTTGCTTTATAATGACAAACCAGAATATATATGGTTTAGGGGTGGGGATCTCGACCATTTACAAGATATTAGATCTTTCTCAAATGGCAGGGGGTTGGGATGACCCCTGGGGACTAACCCTGTATATCATTCAAACCATCTTAGCATGACAAACCAGAATATATATGGTTTAGGGGTGGGGATCTTGACCACTTACAAGATATAAGAACTTTCTTAAATGGCAGGTGGTGGGGGTGACCCCTGGGGACTAACCCTGTATTCCATTTGATTTGCTTTATAATGACAAACCAGAATATATATGGTTTAGGGGTGGGGATCTCGACCATTTACAAGATATTAGAACTTTCTCAAATGGCAGGGGGTCGGGATGACCCCTGGGGACTAACCCTGTATATCATTCAAACCATCTTAGCATGACAAACCAGAATATATATGGTTTAGGGGTGGGGATCTTGACCACTTACAAGGTATTAGAACTTTCTTAAATGGCAGGGGGTGGGGTGACCCCTGGGGACTAACCCTGTATTTCATTTAATGTGTTTTATCATTTAGAACATTTTCAATTAAAAAGATTGTGTCTATCACAAACGGTTTTCAATTTATAATCATTTGAAAATTTAAAAAAATAAAATCCCATAGGGTTCTATAGTAAAACCCTCCTTTCTTTTCGCCCCTCAAAGTACCCCTTTATAAACCCTATTGCACAAACAAAACCCTGATTGCACCACTAGACATGTTAGTCTAACATATTGTGAAATCCTAAGTTAATCTGACAAGCGGTTTTGGAGAACGGGTGCGGACAAGTTCAAATTTAAAAGTGGCGGAAGAGGAAGAGGAAGAAGAATAATAATAATAATAAGAACTGAGCAAAAACAATAAGTCTTCCCAAACTTCGTTTGAGAGACTTAATTATAATCAATTGCATGTAATTGCATAACCCATAGGCTAATTGTATTATAATTCAAACGGTCCTCCTGATTACAGTTTTAAAGTCCTGAAGGATATCCAGCTAAAGATGGCTAAAATTCATTAATATTCATGATAAATATTAATGAATCTTATGAACAATAGCGCTAGCAAAGGTGCACGATCAAAAATTGTGTTTTTGACCCATAATCAAATGTATACTTTTCATTTGAGGAGACATTTATTCGAATATTGTTTTTAATATTCTAAATACTGTAAATTCAGAAAATCTTTAAATCAAAATCATTTTATAAACCTTTTAGTAATGTTTATAATAATGAGTAAGGATGATTATTAAGGAAACAGCATTTAAGCATATATACGATTTTATTAAAGTTATGTCAAAGAATTACTAAATTTCACCCAGCTGAAATTGTAATACATTCCCAACATCCTGATGAATATCGACATGAAAGCCAAGGTGCATAGACCCCTACAAAATTGTAATATATTCCGAACATCCTGTCATATAAAAAATTGATATGGGGACGAAGTCCCTAATTACAGTAGAAATCAATAAAACAAATTTAGATAATCAAAATATACTATTGAATTAAAAATCGTTAACTTTATTTTTCTATTTTTTTTTTCTTCCGCATTTGCGCAGAAATCTTTTTCTTTCTTCCAGTCTAGTTTGTAATGGGACTTTGAGTAAAATATAGGAAGGAGCATCATATTGTTTCCCGCAAATTTGTTGTTTTTGATTACCAAAAGAATACTGCCAGTTATATATAAACAATAAAAATAAATTCCTTACATTTTAAAAGGAGTCTGAAGCTCATTCAACATACAATTTTATACCAAACAAAATGAGTTCTTGTGAAACTCACCTTATCAATCAGTCAGATTTCAATTATCTGATAAAAATGAAAAGCCGACTTGCACAGGTATCATCGTCTTTTAAAGATATAAATTATAACAATTTTATTTTAACATTTCTTTGATATGAAAAAAACGTTACCTGATGATAGCGTTTCTTTGTTTACATTGAAAATGACGTCACAACTAAAATCCCTTACAACAGTACCAACATCGGAAACATTTCCATATTTCGGTTTCCTTTTCAACAGATTCTAAAGTTAAAATATGCTTGAATTCAAAATATAATTTGTACGGACTTCGTCCCCTTTCACAGGTAACACCTGCCTCATATTAGTTCAGTGATCTGGAAAGATTTTTTCTCTATGAGCTCAGGGCCCCCATAAAAATAAAATCAATGGGCCATTTTTAGAATTAATGGGCCATGTTGTCAAATGAGTGGGCCATTTAATTTATACATGTTATAACAAAAAATGAAAAAGTGTATGTTTCAGCAAAGAGGTAATAACCTGTATGATTTTAATTAATATCATGAATATTGTTCCTGTGCTTTTGTAGATTCAGTGAATAAAAGTTAATTTTGTTCATGGTGATTTATGTTACCAAAGACATACATAAGAATATACGTCTCTGATGTGACTAAGAATGACATCGAGTGTCTAGAATATCTAGATCAGGGCGGTTTCGAGAACTGGCAAGCCCTGAAACCTGATCCTGCGCCTAAACAAATACTCTAAGTACCGTGAGAAATTACAATGAGAAATGGTGTACCATAAGAGGAAATGATTAGTACAGAGAGACAAGTTGTGTCAATTTTGACCTTAGGATCAGGATCAGTTCATGAAATGTATCATCACTCAGAAATTAAACTTTTTATGACTTATAAAAAAAAATTATTAAACTAAGTAACTAGAACTATGACAATGGCAGACTAAAAGAAGCTGATCTACCTTTTGTGGCACAAAACTGAAAAAAGAAGAAATGAATCTTGATAAGAAAACTAGAAAAATTAAATTCCAAGTTAGTTGAAATGATTTTTGGCAAGATTTGCTGTACATTTTGCTTCCATCACACCACACAGAAACCAGGACCATAACTTCTCCCAAACCGGGCTATAGTTAAGAGAACCTTTATTTACAATGTTAGTACTGGTACCACCGACTTGTTCATGTTCATGTTCCTTTGACATTAAATTTGGGTCTTCGTCGATTGCCATACTTTATTCCCGACGTTCCGTATTAGAGGACGTTTCAGACATTTCCCATGCATTTCTTGATCATTATTATTTTATCAAGACTAACAAAAAAGAGTAACGTTTTTTGTTGTTGATAAAACACAACAACAATTCGCTGAAGGCATTTTATAAAATTTACAAACGAACCAAAGACCAAAAAATTGACAAGGACAGTTAAGCGCCTTTCATATTAAAAAAGGCCTTTGAGTTTTTCAATCAACTTTATTGCAATAGATATAGGAAGATGTGGTATGAGTGCCCATGATACAACTCTCCATCCAAGTCACAATTATAAAAGTAAACCATTATAGGTCAAGGTACGGTCGTCAACACGGAGCCTTGGCTTACACCGTACAGCAAGCTATAAAGGGCCCCCAAAAAATACTAGTGTACTGTAAAACCATTCAAACAGGAAAACCAACGGTATAATCTATATAAAAAACGAGAAACGAGAAACTCTTATGAACCACATACATTATGTAAACGAACGACAACTACTGAACATCAGATTCCTGACTTTAAAGATTATAACTTTTAAAAAAATCTCGTCTGTTCTAGCCAACTTTCACAAAATTTAAGTTGTTTACTTTGAAAATTTAGATCATGGATGATGGTTAATTGCATTACCGCACGTTGCTATCCTTAACATGAAGGAAAACACCTGAGACGGCCCAAAAATATATAGGTGGTGCTCCTGTCATTGGAGGGAACACAACACAGTTTGTACACAAATATGGCAACACGAAACACGATCGGAAATTCATTTTACTAGATCTAAACGTTTAGATACAAACCGGAAAATATCGTGCGCCACACTGGCGCTGACATTTGCCACTCTATGCGCCATTTCTGGTCAAAATGCGCAATTTGTGCATGGCGCACGGCCTTCCCAATCACTGTTAGTTACTGATTTATTTCATTTTTGGTTTATCTTGTCACAAACCTATGCCTTACTGACTTAGTTTACTCCATTTTTTCTTTGTTTTGTTTTATTCTATTTTATTTTTATTTTTTAATTTTCATTTTTTACTAATTGTTACTTTTAAACATATGGTTTAAAACCTCCCTTTGTCTCCTAGAAAATACCTACTTTTACCCAATTCAGTGCATTAACTGCATCTTGTGGATTTTTCGTCAAATGTCCTGGTTTTCTATCCATTTTTGTAACGCTTTCAACGATTCATTCTCCTTCGCAACATATAAACAATCGCCTCAATTTCGACCTTGGGTTTTCCCCATTTTGAATAAAGCGAGCATAGTTATTTTCGTAAAAGACACATTCTAAAATTTGTTTGACCTATAATGTAAATCCAAATAATTTAATTTATAGATTACTTTTTAGTCAGCCTCAGGTTATTTTAAAGTCAAAAACATACCAAGTTAATTTTGACACGTATGCTAAAATATCACTGCTGACTAATTCTGTAGATTTTTTGAGTACCTAAAATAAGTCTTAGAAATATTTGTTTTTATAAAATAATTTGCTGTATAATAACACGTCAAAACCCTTGTAAGAACTTTTTTTTATATATAATTATAAATAACTTAAAAAAAATTAAACATATCGACAGACAGAATGTTTCATTTATAAAGGTATTCACCTCAAGGGCTTTGAAAGGTTAGGCTCGGAAATCACATTTATTGTTCTAGGTATATCTTCATAAAGCTTACTACAACCAACTACCAAAGTGAAAGTTAAACAAAGTTTGGAACTGTTCATTTTAACATGGCAAATTTATTCGTCGCATATGTTTTATGGTTCTTTGGTGGAGCTTGGGGATTACACCACTTTTATCTTGGACGAGATAGACATGCCTTTATCTGGTGGTCGACTTGGGCTGGATGTTTCGGACTTGGTTGGGTTCGTGATCTCTGGCGGTTACCAGAGTATGTTTATGCCGCAAACAAAGATCCTGCTGTTTCCTTGCAAGCTTTGAACGAAAAAGCAAAGCGATATCCAACACCTCCATTTAATGTTGTAAGATTCGCAGGAGAAGTGACAGTTGGTTTCTTATTTGGCATACTGATTCGAATTTGTATTCCAGATGACTTTGTTGAATTGGTCATTGGCCGTATTTTGTCAATAATTGTGCCTCCATTAGCAGTAACAATAGGTGAGAAACTATGTAAAATGAGGCAGGTACTACCTGTTCTGTACAGGTATGATCCTACCTGATACACCTAATCGCTACTTGTCTGCCATTACTGGACATCACAGGGGGTCTCCTTGGGGGTCTGATCCGGATCCCGCTTATTGTTTTGTCAGAATCCTGTATCCTGCTTATCATTGTAATAATAGCGCTTGTAATTTCACGTGTCCTGCCTGACTTCGTTTCCTGTTTTCAAGCAAAATATTTTAACATTCAAGTGTCACGCTTACAAAAAATCCCCCAATCCAGCATCAAGCTTAGACCCCAATGAGACCCACATCACAAAGGTTCCTGTAAAATTTTGACGTCACAATAGAATATGTCCGGCGCATCAAAGGAAAAGGGACTGTTGTATGATGTCAATAGTTCAGGTGTTGCAGATTCTCCGGTCAAGTGTTGCAGATTCCCAAATAGCGATAAGGTCTATAAGCTCATGTTGCATGAGGTTTTATTTAACACTCTACTTTTTGGTAATCAGATATATACAAATTTGTGGGGTCTCACTGATTAAAAACAAGAAGCGTCAAGAATTGACAAGAAGAATAATTTAGCGACAAGAAGGTTAATTAAAGTGACAAGAAATCTTGATATTAACTATTTCAAATAAAAAAAATATAGAACATTGTAGAAACATGCATTAAAGTGTGTTTTTTATACATATGTACTTTTATCTTATTACATGTATACTGACAAAAAATGATTGATAGAAGAAAATGAAGATATGATTTGTTCAAGAAAAGAGTTTATTTTTATTATCAAGGATATGTTTAAGATAATATTCTGGGATTTTTACAAAATGTTCATATTCATAAATACTTTAAAATGATTTTTTTATTACTAAAAATTCATTACAAAATGGCATCGATACTAATGCAACAAAATCTGAAAGTTTATATAACAATTATAATAAACTGTAATTGATTGACTTTTTTTTATAAAGTTATTGGTTTGATAGCATATTGATATAAACTCTTGTCGCTAATTTTTTCTCCTTGTAGCTAAATTTTTTCTTCATGTCGCTTTTAGCATACAAGTCTAGTTGCTTCTTGTTGCTAATTAGTAAGACCAAATTTTGTTTGAAATCCTAGGGTGACAGTAAAGTGTGAAATGTTATAAAAACGAACAGAACAAAACGAAACGAAACTAAGCAACACATAACATGCATAACAAACATGACAAATTGAACAACAATTAAAGATAATGTAAAAATTAAAACAAGAGGCAGACGAATCTAAGGGGAGAATGACAATGAAAATTATGTATTATTTATATTTCTCAAAAGCAGAGAATTAAATAATGACAACATAAATGAGAAACACTTTGATTATTTAAATGCACAAGAGAGTTACCAAGATACAGCATTTCACATGTATATCACAGTAACTCCAGTATACCTGGATTGATTTCCTCAAAACTTTATATTATTGGTGGGATGGATAAAACAAAGCTCATTTTGGACTTCTTTTTTTTTCTTGTTTGTATTTCCAGAGTCTGAGATACAGGACTTTTTAATTGACTCAGGTTAGAATATCTGACAAGAAATCCATCCTTATAATCTCTAAAACTATACCTCAATTTCAGATAAAAATAAATTTTAAAAAACTGTTATCGATCACTGTTTGCGTTTAATTGGAAATATCAGGAAAAAATTTTTCATCATGTTGTTGGGAGAAAATGTGACAGAAAACTTTTGCTTACATGTAAACATTTACATGACAATTGTGACAAGACATGAAAGTGCGACTTTAAAAATGTTTTTCTCTATTTGAATTTTGTTAACACCTTATCTTCTGTAATCAGTGATACTAAATACTAATTTAGTGTGTTGGAAGGAAGGCTTATTTTACCTTTGAAAAAAATAATTAAATAATGACTCTTCAGATAAAAGTTTAAACATTACCAACCCAGGGGTTTCATTACATGTACCTTTCATGTTTTACTGGTACATTTCCAATTTGTAGGTGGTACTTTTCAATATAGCCCATGAGTACCTTATATTGAAATTCCTAAATTCAGGTGGTATTTATCATATGCTTATACATGTTATATATGCCCTCAATTTTAGAATTCATTCAAACATTTTTGTATTATTCAAAATTACCAGTCAATTATGTGTTCTACAAGGATCATCAGTCCTTCACCTTTCTTCTTATACCTTAATTACTAAAATATATGCTACATAGTTTTAGATTTACACCTAAGTGTAGGAACTATTTTATTTTAAAAATATGTACTACTTTCCAGCATGTCCAGTATGTTCTTTTTTGACCGATTAGGTCGTGTTACATTTTACAAAGTCTATCCAAATTTATTTTTGCAAAGAATTCCACTTTTGTGTGTTATTTTGCTGTGCATGTACTGATTTTGTGTCATGGATGGATACCCCATATCCTTTCTTTTTCTATTATAATAAGTACCTCCAATTTAGGATAAGTACCACCTGAATTGAGGAATTTCGATTTAAGAAATTCATGGAATACTTGTTGAATGTAAAAGTTCTGGTTACCACCTCCTAATGAATTGCCTGGTAACCATGTTTTCTGTTGTTAATGACTAATTTTATTCGCAGAGGTACCAGTGACAACTGATTACATCAGTGATATCAGCATTATGAACTTATTTGCCAAACTACAGTCTAGTATATATTAGTATTAAGGGGCCAGATGAATGCTGTCTCCGGCTGTGGGATTTTCTCGCTGCTTTGATAACCCGTTGGTGGCCTTGGACTATTTTCTGCTCCTTAATTGTCGGGCTGTTGTCTCTTTGACACATTCCCTGTTTTCATTATATAACACATATTTACTTTTTATTATCTGCTTTCAGGAGTTCATTTAGTTGGAAATGTAAGTCCAGAAAAAGTTTCTTTCAAATGGGCATTATATGGAGCATACACTTCAGTACCTTTGTTGTTATTCGATTCAGGAAATAACTTGGTATATTCTTCAATACTTTCTGCAATTGCAGTAAACTGGAAGGGAAAAAACTGGAACAGAGACTATTTAGAAAAGCGTGGACTTTGCAAACGAATATTTGTGTTAACTTTCTGTGGATTGATATATTTATCACTTTGGTCAAGTGCAATATATTTTAATGCAACAATTACAACAAAAGAAGGAGACGAAGTTCCACTACGAGAGGCTATAAATAACTTTTTTACCTCCCCTGCATGGGCAGATACTAAAGAATCATTTAGAAATTTATATAAATATTACCAAGAACATGGCTGGGAAAATTTATATAACAAGATAGTAGATTCTTTAGATCCATTAGGAGAAACTAAAGCATATAAGGTAAGTTTATTAATAGAATTTTTATCATGCAGTTGTTACCTTTTAAAATTTAACAATATTTGAATTAAGAAAAACAGTCTTAGTACATGTAGCTAGTAAATCAAGATTTTTCTAAACATATATGTTTTAAAATAACACTCAAATTTTTCCATATTTCATGTATTTTTTTGCATTTAAGTTCTGTACAAGTGTACACTATAATGTATTCTTCTGTATGAAATGTCATGAATGTACTCCTTTGTGCAGCTGCTAATATTACAGTGTATCATTAACAGAAATGATACCCATTTTACTGCACCAGATGTGCTTTGAGACAAAAGACAAAAATAAAATTGATAGATGTCTCTTCAGTGATGCTCATGTGATATGGAAAAATATATTAAATCCCAAACTTATTCAATAGATGAAGAGCTTATAAACCTAAAAAAAAAAGGTATAGCCAAAGTTGGACAAATGTTCTTTGCTCTTGCTTCCAGCAGCTATGAGCATTCTTGGTAAAGAAATTTCATATAAACTTCTGCATGTTCTGAATCAACTATATACATGTACATGCATATGATATAAATAAAAGAAAAAATAAAGAGGTATATATATATATATATATATATATATATATTGATGGAAACTTCATTGACACACAAAAAGACATTAAATGACAACACACCAGTATCAATGAGTATAGAAATAAGGAGATGTGGTAATTATGATTGCCAATGATACAACTATACACAAGGGTACAAATTATGATAAAAATAAGGAGAGGTGGTAATTATGATTGCCAATGATATAACTATACATGTACACATGATCCAAAAGGTCAAGCATCAACACATGATCAACATGAAATTAAGAAAACATTGAAAGACAATGCTTTGTCTTCTAAAGAAAAATATGATTATTTTTATTATTGCATGAGAACCTTAAAAACAGAGATAATGTTTATTTACTTTACAATGCAACCATCTATAACATGTATAACCACACAAAATGAGGAAAATAATCTTATGTTAAGTAAAAATGTTCGATTAGATAATTAATTTAGATACATGTAGCTCAGGTCCTTGTGAACTCTCAGACAGGTTTATGATGTCATAGGTGGTGCACTTTGGCCACCAATTAAATTATGTCTTTTCATAAACATAAATAGACCTAAACAAGTCTGTCATTTTCTGACTTAATTATATATAAATAAGTCTGAAAATGAAAACACATTTTTATCATGTTTATGATAAATACATTTTTTGACATCTGTAAGTCAAAAACAAAAAAGGACTTGTTTATGTCTGAGCTCTGACTGAAGGGTACAAATTATGATAAAAATAAGGAGAGGTGTTAATTATGATTGCCAATGATACAACTATCCACAAGATCCACAAGCCTACAAATTATGATAAAAGTAAGGAGAGACCTGTGGTAATTATGATTGCCAATGATACAACTATCCCCAAGATCCACAAGGGTAAAAATTATGATAAAAATAAGGAGAGGTGGTAATTATGATTGCCAATGATATAACTATCCACAAGATCCACAAGGGTACAAATTATGTGGAGGTAAGCAACTACAGGTCAGTGAGGTTACCGTATCATTAGTATGATCAGAATATGAACAATTGGTGTGGATTAAGTATGGTCGCTCCTCTTGTTTTTGAATTTTTGCCAGATATTCGGAATCCTCTGGTTTTATCCATGTAATGCCATTAAAAATTTTGCCCACTAACCCCTACTTTTCTTTCCATAATTTGATTACATATAGTTTAAAATGTCATCTTTGAAAATCTTATAAAATCCTTGTTATTTTTCATCGTTTTTGAAAGAAAAAAGGTGTCAATGTTAAATTTACAATGTATGAAAAATCTAGAGAGAATTATTTCCCGCCAGATTTTCAATGGCTTATATCTCGAAAACAAGCACACAGACCCTTCATTTTTTTTCTGCTTTTTTAGTCTCTTTATTTATATAATACATGTATCAATTTATAACCATGATAACAGTCTTTTAAAAATCTCGTTATTTTGAAACAGAGTAGCGAACATCCTTAATATGGAATTCCATTACATGTATAACATGTGCATGTATAAGGTGTCTCATGCCTTAAAAATGTCACTTTGAAATAAAAATTTTTTTTAATTTTTTTAGGATTTAGGTCTGCATGAAAATGCTACAGAAGAAGAGATTAAGAAATCATATAAAAAATTAGTGAAACAATGGCATCCTGATAAACACATGAAAGAGACAGATCCTGATAAAAAAGCTGAAGCACAGAAAAGATTTATAGAAATACAGGAAGCATATGAAACATTGTCATCAATAAAGAAGAAACGAGCACGACGAAGTAAAAAATCAAGATCAACTAGTCAAGATCATGGAGATCGCACAGAATTATAAACTTTTAAATTAATATGTTCTTAAAGAATGCAAGAAATTGTTATCAGTTTAAAGATGTTTGACACATCTAGGCCCATGCCCAGATAATTTCAAATTGGGGAACTTGTAAAAATAGGGGTTCTTTTTAGGGGTGTTTTTTGGGGTTGAAAGGATATATATATTCTTTGTTCAATGTACTTTATGTTTTATGCTTAGTTTTCATAGTAAAAATACATAGTCAAACAATGATTATTGTTATGATCTTTTGTGAGAAAAAGCTCTAAGGGTATGGGTCTGCCATCATTTCATTGACATTTTTCATTACGTTCATGACAGTACATGTAGCTGCAGTATATTTCTCCATCAACCAAAACATTGTGAATATTTGAAAAATGATCTGTTGATTCTTTTCTGTCCCAAGACCTACATAGTCATGTACTTGTGGCTTCATAGCTTGAATCATACACTCAGAGAATCTCTTGCATGTCCAGTACCAAATAACATCTACTATGTTCTTGCTGTTAGGCAAATAGCATCTACTATGTTCTTGCTGTGAGGCAAATAGCATCTACTATGTTCTTGCAGTTAGGTTTTACTTCAAATCTATTTTGTTGTTTTCTATGACTTTGCTTTTTGTATCCAATCTTGCTAAATTGGTATATGAAAAAAATGTTAAAGGTTCAATGATATCAGTTTATGTTTAAGGATATATAAATGGAGTGAGGCAGAGGTTTTGAAATGTTGTCTGTTTTACAAATATGCATGTAATTAATAATGTATCATGATTTCACCTAATGGTACTTATATTTAAGCTTGAAAATAAAATTAAGAACAATCTGAATGTATCATGTATCATGTGTATAAAGATAACGATGAGATGATAATCCATTGTGATATACATTTTGATGTAATGGTTTTTTTAGTTTTGAAAGATGTAAGTACATGAAGTACATGTAGATTATTTTTTTGTTTATTTTAAAAGGGCTATTCCTGAAAGTTAAAATTCTGGGGAAGCACATTTTGAATCTATAAATTGATGCTTAAATGACCCAAAAATATTCCCCTGCCAGTTTTTAAAGAAAAAATATTTTTAAAAATTGAGGGACAAACAGTAATTAATCATTTACTGTTTTAGATAAAGGATATTTTATGTTTCAGGTACAATTAATATTTTGAAAATAGTAAGGTTGATAACAGTAGAAAAACAAATTGAGGGATAGGAATCCTCCTAAATATATGTATACTTTATAAAAGGTAAAATATACAACAAATTGTTATTCCTTTGAAGTTTCATTTACTTTACAAATAGTTTTTGCGTGCTATAATTGCTCAGATACTGTTGTAAGAATATATGCAAAGAAATGTTTTTGACTGTTTTGTAAATTTGAAATAAGAATGGTTGTAATGAGCTAGGCCAAAGTGAAAGATGATTAGAATACAGATCCTTTGACCAAACTTTCCTTACAAGGATCTGACAACACACTGTTTTACATTCTCTTCTGAAAATTATTACATCAACCAATGAAATTTGTACCTTGAAATTTTGAAGGAGTACATGTATATTATTACAACAAAACCTGAGATCCAGAAAAAGTCTTCAAAACAGAGAGTAAAACAGAATGGCGTTAAATCGTCGAAAGAGGAGCTTGAACACAGGAACTGTATTTTGATTAGATCAATGTTATATAGTCAAATTAAAAATTAATGAGTTCAGTAAAGACTTAAATATAAATATATCAGATAATTATCAAAAGTACATTGTATGAAAAATCACTCCCGCTTGAAGTCATAGACTGCTGGTGACTTGAGGTGTTAAAATTCAGAATAATGATCTTGACCCTGTCTTTGACAAATATACACCAAGTCAGGAGCCTCTGGCCTTTGTTAGTCTTGTATCATTTTTAATTTTAGTTTCTTGTGTATAATTTGGAGTTTAGTATGACGTCCATTATCACTGAACTAGTATACATATTTGTTTAGGGGCCAGCTGAAGGACGCCTCCGGGTGCGGGAGTTTCTCGCTGCATTGAAGACCCATTGGTGGCCTTCGGCTGTTGTCTGCTCTATGGTCGGGTTGTTGTCTCTTTGACACATTCCCCATTTCCATTCTCAATTTTATCTTTTACCACTTGAATATCGAGAGAATTTTTTTTGATAGAATCACTCACATTCACCAGTATTCTTTGTGAAAAGCACTATCAAGAGGGATTTTCAATTGAATCACCTTGGACATGTTGTATATATATATACATCTATAGTATTTGAACAGTAGGAAAACAATGCTTTATTTTCATAAGAGCTCTTCATTGCTATAGATACAGTAGTTTCTAACATTGATAAAGTTAAATTTGTTCATGGTTGTTGTATGTTAATGCCTTTTGCCTACAGCTACATATAAGTCCAGCTGTTAGACAGTGTTATCCAATTAATGAAAACCATTTATTTGTACATTTTTATCTACTTGTTATTCTACAAACAAGGTTCTTGTCAATTGAAATACGAAGTTTTCATTTATGTTACAATATTATTTTTTTTCATTTTGAATAAATCATGAAAGCAATTTATCATCCATTTTGCTATTAACCACAGCAGTATTTTAGTTTATGGTTACACGTATCAGTCCAAAACCATCTTTTATTTGTTTTAATTGTATCCTTCATTGATGTTTGTTATTTACTTGCCTTTTGCCATCAATTTTTGTAGAATTAACATGATCAACAAAATCAAAATGCTGCCACCTTCTTACATACAAATTCTTGATGACCTATTTTATAGGTGTTTTGTGCCAATATGCTGTAAAGTGCAAGTGTTTTGCAAGGTTCTTTTTGTATTAAAATTGCAAAAAAATATCTGCTCAAACTAAAAGAAATAAGATCAGGGATAAGAAAAGAACAAAAAATGAAACTTAATACAAAATAAAAAGAAATGGTTTAGCCTTAGAAAAGAAAAGGTCAAAAATCATAATTTGACAAAAAAGGGTTTGGTCGTAGAAATTGCAAACTTCTTAAGAATAAACCAATTTACAGTATGTTTATGTTTACTCTCGGAAAAAAAATTGAATAGTTAAAATAAGTTGAACCATTAATCTCTAGAGCTAAACCTATTTTATTAGTTGAACTAGAGTATCGTAAATTCAGAAATTTATGTGATGTTTTTATTATTTCAAAAACTGCAACCAGATAGGTGTCACAAAAATAAAAATTCACATTCTTAATTTTGATAGCATTATTTGTATGCAGCATTTCCTGAAATTGTAATAATTAATTTTGCATATATGTCCATTTTTCAACAATCGCAATGATAAATGCACACAGAAATTTCTGAATTTACAGATCTTGTATATTATATATTCATATACTCACACTATAAGAGGGAAACACTCAATCTTTGTAGCAGCAGCCGAAAATTCTACAGGTCATCAAATTACTTAAGTCATTATAAAGATAAGAAGATGTGGTGTATATGACCATTACAATATTACATCACAAACAATCTTAAAATCAAAATTGATCATGAATTATACAGAATTGTTTATGAGTACTTTTCCTCCAAAGATTTTTTTGTGAAAAATTTTGTACTGTGGGCACTTCTTATGATAACTTGATCTGTTCCATTAAAGAAAATGTAATTAACCATCTCAAAAAAAGTGCATTAAATGATAATGTTGTTTTGAACCAAATTATGACTTTTTTTTAAATAAATGAACTATGTGACTGTTATATGATTTTCTATTATTTTTCTATTTTTGGAAATTGTAATCTCTTTGGCTAGACTTTTGTTAATTAATTTCAGAATAGAAATAATAATTTTATTTGGTTTAAGTTCACAGTATCATCCTTTGGAGATAAACCATTATTTCTTTTAATTTTATTTTCATTATGTGAAGACTGTGTTATATTCAATAAAATAGACTGGGAATGATTACTTCAGGTTAATCAATGTCTACCACATGCTGTCATATTAAATATTTTTATAAGTTTATGAATGAATTTTTTGTGTTTACAATGGTCTGATTTTATATGCAAACTCAGAACAGATTTCTTATACATATATTGTATTTTCTTTAAAAAAGCTTGATCTAATATTTAATGATTGTTAACCTTTTTTGCATTGCCATAAAGTGTCGCTGCCAATTGTTTCCAAAATTCTTTATTTTTCTTTAATTTTATGCAGCATTTTCTTATGAATTGAAATGCCTCGATGGTCTCGTGGTAGCTTGTTTGCCTCGAGTGTGGGAAGTCGTTGGTTCGAACCCCGGCCGGTCACACCATAGACTTTAAAATTGGTATTTGCTCTTCTCTGCTAAGCACGCGGCATTAAGAAGTAAGAGCAAAGACTGGTCAGCTCGGAGTTAGAATAATGTGTCCGGGTAAGGTGACATGTCTTCCTGCGAACTGTTACCTTGTGAACTAGCATGTTAAAAATCCGGCTCAGTGTGTTGATTTAGTACAAAGCAGTGTTAATATTCATATAACATTAACATGTTCTCGTCCTGAATATGCATATTGATTTGCCACTGGACATTAAGCAGCCATCCATCATCATCATCTTATGAATTGCTCACCATAACCATAAAGAGACAAAATTTTTAATACTAGCAATTATATATATAGACAGTGACATGCTCACAATCTTGTAAGTTTTAATTGTCACCATCACCAAATCTAAGTTGAATCTGTAAAATTTAGAATTTTTTAATTCGTTTGTGTAAAAGTTTATAAATTTTGTGATCTCGAGATACTTTGTGTAGGTATGATCTGAAATGATTAACAATAGCCATAGTAGAAACTTAGGAATCTCTTTCATTGACTGACATATTTTTTGCTTTTTGTATTATTTCTGTACAAATACTTGTACTTTTAAAAGTTCTAATGTCATACATTTGTGAAAGTATTTGTACCTTTAAGTTTTTTAAGGTTAATTTTTATTCAAATTTTTTTTTTTTTAAGAACATGTTGTTCCAAAATTGTTTTGTATGATTAACAACTGATGTAACATCCTTGGAATGATTTATATGAGTTGTCCATTTTCCCCTGATACAGATGTCTGCATATCCTATTAAAAAATCAATCTGATAAAAAATGAAGGTACCTAGGGCTCAATCAAAATCATGCATAATAAATATAAAAACTTATTCTAGAAATCCAATGCAAAGAACAGAAATCACTGATTATAAATCATTGTTGTGGGCTATTTAATACATTTGTATATTGTTTTATAATACTGAAGTGATTGATAGCCTGGTCGTGTTTATTTTACAGCCTACAGGGATACTATAATGTTTGAATTTGTTTTGTCATATTTGAATACAAATTAGATAATTTAATTATCTCCCTTAACACAAATCTTTACTGGAAAGGTATGCCTTCCATAAAGTGTGAGAGATCAGATTTTCCCTGTACTTCCAATATATATATATATATAGCTTCTGTTACAATTTTAAAATGTTCAACACATGTTCTTATGCATATTCTGGATAAGAAATTAAAAGAGTTTTAATTTCTCATTTAATGAGCATGGTCATAAGGGATAATACCATCATTATTTTCCCCCTATTGGTTTTTGTTAAATTGATTTTTTCCAAAACATTGTGCAGAATTAATCTTTGATTTCAAATAAAGAAATACTCGGCATGAGTAAAATAATCCTGTTAAGGGACACTACTACAGTGAAAATTTCACATAACATTTCATTGCATTTAAAGAAAATAACCATCAAAGGAAGTAAACCAAGCAACTTTTTATCCCTTTTTTCCTGTTTACAGGCTTAAGTAACCATGTCACTTCAAGTTTCCAAAATATACTATAGGAACACCAAATAAAATGGAAGGTGCTTTTTTCCCACAACTGTCAAATTCAAAAGGAATATTTTGTCCTACCTTTTTTTAACATGAAACCAGGTGTGACGTACTATGTTTTGGTGGTACTATACCATAACCTCTTGGGCTTAATAAGGAGTATTAACAATAAAAGGTGAACATTTTCTACAGTTGAAATCTAATCAATGAATTTTCAGTAATAGTTTTTAACATAGAGTCATGTCAAGGTAAGATGGTGATGGTATTGTATGTTTTTTTTTTTGTAATAAAATGCCTTTTATAGTAAGCATAATGTCCTCTGTGCTTTATATACTGTGCATTACTTTACTTATATAGATATCATAAGGGACTTTCTTTTATTCAATCAAAAAATGTTTGATTTTGATACCACCTCACATTTTTTGACAATTTGTTTATTAAATTCATGCTATAGTACCAGTGATATCTGTATCTATTTTAAATTCATAAGCTACATTCATGTATCATAGCTGAATAGGTTTTAGACAATTAAATGTCAGTATTTGACTAAACCAAACAGTTTTCTACACCTTATCATGTAATAGTGCTAGATCGATCTGTATTTTCTTTATTTTTTCCTTTATTATGAATCTAAATTTGTTTTGTTGACATATGTTTTGTTTTTTATTGATCTTTGAATTTTAACTTAATTCCAGCAAATATAGTATGTATAGTGCAATTTGATCTTGCTATTATTCAGACCAAACCCATGAAACAATTATTCATACTGCCTTTTGTATATACTGTCCTGAACCACACCCTGGATGTCCAGCTATGTTGAATCTGGTTTTTTTTTTAACAGACAAACGATTTGATAATATACCTTGTCTCATGTTTTGTTTATAGCTGTTCCTGAATGTAAGAATGTCATTTAAGAAATGAATTCATGTTTTTCAGGGAAATTTCTTTATTATTTATGCCTCATCTACGATATTCTGTTAGTCTGTCCATCCGATAATCTGTCCGATATTACTATTGCCAACATTCTTACAAACAGCCGGAAGTCAGTTGATTTCTATGAATGATAATATTGGAAGAAAATTACATCTGTATGGAGATAACCGTAATGAATTTGAGAATTTGCAAGGGTAAATCAGTGGTTTTAAAAAGTTTATAAAACTTTGAATTTTTCGAAATACTAAGGATTTTCTACACCAGGAATAGATTACCTTAGCTGTATTTGACAAAACCGTTCGGAGTTTTGGGTCCTCAATGCTCTTTAACTTTATACTTTATTTGGTCTTTTTTAACTTTTTTGATTCGAGCGTAACTAATAAGTCTTTTGTAGATGAAACGCGCGTCTGGTGTACAAAATTTAAATCTTGGTATCTATGATGAGTTTATTTACAACCACTTAGTCGATGCCACTGCTAGTGGAGGTTTCTCCCTGAGGGTATCACCAGCTCAGTAGTCAGCTCTTTTGTGTTTGCATAAATTATCATTGATATATTCATAACTATAAATTAAATGTTGATCAAACTTTGAATTTTTCGATAAACTAAGGATTTTCTACCCCAGGAATAGACAACCTGAGCTGTATTTGACAAAACCTTTCAGAATTTTGCTTTATTTGGCCTTTTTAACATTTTGTTATTCGAGCATCACTGATGAGTCTTTTGTAGATGAAACGCGCATCTGGCGTACACAATTTTAATTCTGGTATCTATGATGAGTTTATTTACTGTTGTAAATATCGATGATCTTTTTGTAAAACATATTTGTCAAGCTGTGAAAATAAACAACTACAGACTTCTACAGGCTTTTAGTTAATCAAGATAAAGAAGAGTTTTCATGTTTTCCACTTGTGTGTTAATACTGCCCCAATTAGACAAACTTATCGTCAACTTATCTATATCAAGAGTATATAAATAAAATGCACACGGTGTCAGATGATGATGGGTGGCTGTTTCATGTCCAGCGGCAAACTAAATGCATATTGGGTTGAAATCATGATAATGGGATATGAATATGAACCATACTTTGTACTATACCAACACGTTGAGCTGGATTTTTAATGAACAAGTTCACAAGGTACGTGTAACAGTATGAAGGAAGAATTAACAATATGCTTCTGTCCCATAACCTTAATATAGAAAAAGTTGAATAGTAAGAACGAGTTTAACTATTGATTTTTTAGCATACAAAGTAAAATAACAAAATTACCGAACTCCAAGGAAAATTCAAAACGGAAAGTCCCTTATCAAATGGCAAAATCAAAAGCTCAAACACACCAAAAGAATGGAAAACAACTGTCATATTCCTGACTTGGTACAGACATTTCCTTATGTAGAAAATGGTGGATTAAACCTGGTTTTATAGCTAGCTAAACCTCTCACTTGTATGCCAGTCGCATACAATTCCATTTTATCAATGTGGGAGCAAAACGGAACATAATAGGTAAAAATGTCAAAAAATGGGGTACAGCAGTCAACATTGTAATATAATCTTAAACAATATAAAAACAAATAACTATTTCAACAAAGAAAAACAAATTGACATAAAGACACTCTATAGACAAAGTACATAAGCAAAAATGAAAGACAAGAATACAAAACTGACCATAGCACAATAACATAATGGCTGGATGTATAAGTACCGAGCCACGCCAGAAGTATATTACCAAAAATGGACTTAACAGTAAAGGTTAAAAATATACAAGGGAAAATAAAGAGACTGCTATAGCACGTAATTAAGATGATAAACACCGACAGTACCTAGAATCTATACTTCAAGACCATCATGCATTATTTGTGAAGTTGATACGGAATATTTATCAACAAGGTCTTGGTATCTTCCAATAAACATTTTTAGAAAAAGGACGAGACGGTCTATGACACAACCCTGGTTCATCAACTTTCTGCTCAGACACTGGTGACGTTTTATAAAGTCTGATTAGCAGCTTCTTTTTTTTATTGGAGTACTTTTATGCTATATTTTCATGTACTGAGTATAAAGAGGAAACCATTCAATCGTTGATAATGAATACACTTCAAGTTTGTAGTTCATTAAAAACGTTGACAGGAAATTCTGGAACAGTTGACTACAAGCAAGTCATCAAATAAATTCTGACATTTAATAAATGGGGAGATGACGTGTGCACGTGGTGTATTTGATCATTACAGTATTACATCACAAACAATCTTAAAATCAAAATTGATCATGAATTATACAACATTGTTTATGAATAAAAAATTGCTCAAAGATTTTTTTGGGGAAAAAACTTTGTACACTTCTTATAATAAGTTGATCTGTCCCCTTGTCGAAGTACATGTAATTAACCATCTCAAAATAGTACATTAACTGATAGTGTTGGGTTTTTCACCAAATTATGATTTTTTTATTAAATAATCTCTCTGACTGTTATATGATTTTATGTCTGCTTCTATTTTTGGAGATTGTAATCTCTTTGGCTAGACTTTTGTAAATTGATTTCCAAGCAGAAATATTTATTTATTTGGTTTAGGTTTTCTGTTTTACGATCATTATCATTCTTTAGAGATAAACCATCATTTCTTCCAATTCTATTTTAATCATGTGAAGATTTTATTATTTAATAAAAGAGGTTAGGGGATAATCACTTCAGATTTAACAATTTCTACCACATGCTATCATATTAAATATCTTTATAAGTTTATTGATGAATTTTCTGTGCAATTATCAGATTTAATTTGCAAACTGAAAACATATTTTTCCTACATATAATGTATTAAAAAAAAAAAAACATAATCTAGTATTTTATAACTAAAGACCTATAATTCTATTCGACTGTCATATAACTGAGAGGTTTAGCTAGCTATAAAACCAGGTTTAATCCACCATTTCCTGCATAAAGAAGTGCCTGTACCAAGTCAGGAATATTGTTTTCCATTCGTTTGATGTGTTTGAGCTTTTGATTTTGCCATTTGATAAAGGGCTTTCGGTTTTGAATTTTCCTTGGAGTTCGGTATTTTTGTTATTTTACTTTTACCATTGCCATAAAGTGCCACTACCAATTGTTTAAGAATTCTTACGTTTTTTTAAAGTCTCATGCTCATGATTTTTGCTTATCAATTGTTAACCATTACGGAAGATAAATGTAATACTTACTCACAAGCTATCATAAATAACTACATGTATATATCTGAAATGATTTACAATTATAGTAATACTAGAATATAAGGAATCTCATTAATTGACCAATAAACCTGAATTAATGTATTACAGTAAATCCAGAAATTTTTGTGATGTTTTTATTAATTGAAAAATTGCGTTGGGTTATATTTTTTTGCGAAAAATGGGCACTTTAGATATTGATAGCATTGTTTCAATGCAGCATTTCCTAAAACTCAATAATTGACCCCACATTTCTAATCACTACAATCGCAATGACAAATTTCTGAATTTAAAATAGCCATATTAGAAATAAACTCAACATATATACAAAGCTTTTAAAAACTTTTGTACGCCGGACGGATGTTTCGTCTACAAAACACTAATCAGTGACACTCGAGAAAAATAAAGAGGCCAAATAAAATGTTTGAAGTCGAAGAGCATTGAGGACCCAAAATTTCGAAAGATTTTGCCAAATACAGCTCAAATAATCTATTCCATAGGTAGAAAATCCTTAGTTTTTCGAAAAATTTAAAGTTTTGTAAACAGTTAATTTATAATTTTGACCATATCCATGACAATTTATATGAAAATAGAAATGCTGACTACTGCGTTGGTGATAGCCTTGGGGAGGAAACTTAGGAGACTCAATATCAAGGTCCTTGCAGTGGTATGATTTATATGAATTGTCCATTTCACCCATACATCTGCACCTGATGTGTGTGTATTCTATGAACAAATATATTTATCAAAAATGAAATATGAAGGCACCAAGGGGGCAATCAAAATCATGCATAATAAATGTAATAAAGTACACTATAAATCCAATATATTGCACTAACAACATATGTCACTGTGTATTCATTGTTTCGTGCTATTTAAAACATTTGTATATTTGTTATGATACTGATTCTGACTGATAGCAAGATTGTGTTTAATTACAGGCTATGGGTGATACTAGAATGTTCGAGTTTTGTTTGGTAATATTTGAATACAAATTAGATAATTGAATGATCTCCCTTAACACAAATGATTACTAGTACTGGAAAGGTATGCCTTTCATATAGTTTGGGAGATCAGATTTTCCCCATACTTGCAACTTGGGAGGTATGTCTTCTGTTAGAATTAAATACTATCAAAATAGTTTCTAACGCATTCTGGATAAGAAAAATTGATGAGTTTTAACTTATGATTATATCAGCATTGTCTTAACCTCTTTTACTAAATAAGGAATACTAGTAATAAAGGGCGAAAATATATATCAGAAGTAAGAATGTATTCTTCAGTTGAACTGTAATTAATGGATTTTCAAAAGTAATTCTTAAGACAGAGTAAGGTCTAACTGATTTGGTATAAAGGCAAGGTGGTGATGGTATCCTATGGTTAATTTTTGCATTAAAATGTCATTTACAATTAGTATAAATGTCCACCGCACTTAATGCAATATGCATTACTTTACTTTTATTGATATGCGTTCAACTTATTCAGAAATGTTTGATTTTGGTACCAATTAGTTATAATCATGTACGATAACTGTATAGTTTGTAGCCAGTGAAATATCAGTGTTTGACAAAATCAAACAGTTTTCTT